GAAGGATAGTAACTTGTTCAGGGCTAAATATCTTTGAGCCCAGAATGTCTCTTCCGAATCTAGTGCATGCTCCACTAAACCAGGATACATCTCATCCAGTAATCCCAGCTAGAAGGGGCTGGGGTAAAGGCTGTGATGGCCAAAGCTTTGAATGTGTAACCCAGAAAGCTGTGCACCCTTGCAAGCCGTGCTGGATCAGCCAATGGTAATGATTTCCATTCGGGTGTCTGTTTTTTCTTTCAGTCATGAGGCAGTGAAATCCATGTTTCACACCCAGATGAGGTGGGTCAGTCCTTTGAAGCATCCCTCTTCCTCTGACCCATCTCCCTCACTTGCCTGGTTTGCTGGGACGACCCCTTCCCAAGACTCCTTGGCTGCCGTCAGTCCATAATGTCCTCCTGCTCCCAGTGTCTTATCTTTGTTGAATGTTGTATTTTTAATGCATTTAAATGAACCATTTATTCCTCACCTGCCTTTGCTTTATTCTCCTTCTTTTCTCCCCCTTTCACTCCTTACTTTCTGCTCCCCAACCCTGAAGCATGCACCTTCTAGTTCACATTATCTCCATAAAAGCCCACATCGTCCCCCAAAACCTTGCCTACCATGAATGAGGACTGTTGATATTACTGACCCACTAAAGAACTGCGTGTTTGTTTTTAACCCCCAACTTCTCACCCAGATTGGGCTCTGAAAATAGCACCCCTAATTTTGAATAACAAATTCAAAATAACTATGACATTTTTTTTTTTTGTCTTTTTCCGTGTCCGGCAACGGGTCGCAACCCTCAGTGTTGCCCCCGTACTGGACCGGGACCGGCAACGGGATCGCAACCCTCGGTGTTGCTCCCACGCCTCACTCAGCCAGTGAGCAGGAACCGGTCTGTATGTGGGATCCGAACCCTCGGGTGGGAGCACCGCCGCGCTTCCCAAGCGGCGCACTATCCAGTGCGCCACCGGGCCGGCCCTAACTATGACATTTTTGATAAATATTTACTCATAGTATTCTCTTTACCGCTCTGACCAACTATGAATTATTGGTTTAGCTTACATTTTACTTTTGACTTTTCTTAATGACAACCAAATGGCCCCAGACAGGTCTTTATTTCAGGCCAGCCATGAAAGCTCTTGAAATGGTCTTTGAATTAAGAACACAATTCTGCACGGGAGTTTGGGCTCTGGAACGCAGGGGTAGGGATATTCGGTACATCTGAGTCTGTGTTGGCGCGGTGGCATTGCACATGCTTTTGAATGATTCACATCATCTGCTAGGCTTGGGTTCCTTGCCTGTAGAGCAAAGGTCAAGATAAGAGAATCCCTAGGGACCTCTAGTTCTATGTCTTTTTGGCTCTGGGCTCTGTTCCTAATCTCTACAAAAAATACTTAAATAAGTTGCCTACTTGTGGCTTAATTAGCTGAACTACAGGGTTACAGAGTGTTGGAGAAGGAAGGGATCTGGAGTCCAGGATAGGAAGTGACTTGTCCATGAAACCTGGTTGGAGGGAGGGCCAGGGTTAGAACCCTCCTCTACTGACTCTTTCTGCAGTGCTTATTCTGTGTTGGTCCCAGCTCGCCCCTCCCTTCCTTGTTCCAAGTAAGGTAAAATGGGTAGAACATATATGCATTTTAAAAATATTCAAAATAATGTTAAGTTAATTTGGTTTTGCACATTCTTTTTTTTTTTCCTTTTTGTCTTTTTTCGTGACCGGTAACGGGATCGCAACCTGCGGTGTCACGCCCGCACCGCGCTCAACCAGCGAGTGGACCAGTCTCTATATGGGATCCGAACCCTCGGTGGGAGCGCCGCCGCGCTCCCAAG